CTTTTTCTATGTTCCTCTTCCTCCTCCCACTTTCAAAGGAGATTACAAGTAAACAGTTTTCCTCTCTGTTTGGTCGGGTTGAAAGAGCTTGGTGCAGCAGGAAGTAAGGAAACACAAACATCAATCTATGTAATTGAGTACGAGGAGAAACGAAGTAAAAGCAAACTAATCAATCAGTCATCTTTCCTTTACATAAAATACATCAAGTAATAATACTGCCGAATAATACGGATTGGATTCTCGCGTACACGAAAAAGAAGAGCTGGACAATGTTTTATGAAAATTTGGAGAAAACCCTGCCAGCTTGAGGAATATGCATAATCCAGTCTGCGTGGCAGGCAAAGTGAAATGTCACATAAGTAAAAATAGCGACCTAAATTAAGTTCACATCGTAATAAATTAAACGAATTTCTCCATATTTGCACAGCAATTCTAATCTCCTTGTGCAAATGAATGTGTCGCAAACAGCCTCTCTCTCACTTTAATTACTCATTTTGCAAAGAGTCAATTAACTTTTTGTTTGTTAGTTGAAAGTTGCGAAAGTGATTGTGAAATATTTCACTAAACGAAATGAACATAAGTTGCGAAATGTGCTGAAGGTGACCTCTCTTTTTACTTGTCAGGAAAAAGTACATGAGTAGCAGGCATTTAATTGCTACGTAAAGAGATATCTTCTTTAGTTGAACCTGTTTTATACTCACCATTTTATTACACTTTCTCATCTTCATAACGGCGGAGGGGAGGAGGGAAATGGACGTGTAAACAGGATGAAATGTGACGAATGGGTTATCTAAACAGTGATCCATCACTTGTCTAAACATCAACTTTTTCCCCTTGTCTCACTTTCTCCCTTCTTGACTTATCCGCCTGCCTCTCCAATTTCATAACTGAATTGGAGTCTGTATCCTCTCGACTACTTAACCACTTAGCTATACTTAATCTACTCATCCATGGAGGTGGTTGACATGCCAAATATTGCGCTATCTTCACCATCATCGTGATGAAAGGAGATATAATTTATGGTTGATCTCGACATGACAATCTGTTTACTGTGGGATTAACAATTTTGAGATGATGTTGAAATCCATACAAGTTTTAAGTGGTGCTGGAGAAGCAAACTATTTGTGTTTTCTTGGTTACATAAATTTCCCACAAAACATCGAGACTCAGAGAGCTTTAGGTTGGCTTAGGAGGCTTGACTGATTTTTACCGTGGAGGAGGAGGAGGGAATTAAGTAAAAAATGAGGAACATATGGCGAAAAGGAGCAAAAGTAAAGGAGGAAAAGTAAAGCTTGCTTTCCTTTCAGAAAAGAAAAGCTTATTATTGAATTGGTAGTTTGGTTACACGTTCTCCACCGGATTAGCAGTACATAAGTAGTGAGTTGTAAGTAGAATTGGCTGGTTCGGGCTCATTTATACGTACACACAAGGAGGTAAAAGCTCTAAACAATTATATACCGTGGAAAAGGTAAGATTTTCCCAGGAAGAAACCCGACCCGAAAGAAACAGGCAAAACTACGTATGTACGTATGAGAGGAAGTGGAAAGACGTGTTGGATAATCAGAGTAATCAAACCGTCACGGCTGGCTGGATGAGTGTGCACAATCAATCTTTAATTGATCAAATGGCAAAGTAACGGCAGTAAAAGTATTGCACTTTTTTTTAACCCAGGAATGAAAAAAGTTTACATGAAACGAGTTTTTGTAAGTTGTAGACGCAATAAAAGCAGGGATCAGTTGCACTCTAATTGCAGAGGAGCTGTGGGCGAAGCACTTCTTTTTGTCCGGGGTGGTTGGTGGTGGAACCCGTTTCTTTAGACCAATTGAAATGCATTACGATTACTGCTCCGCTGTCACGTCGCCCTTGGCACTGGCCTAGATTTCTTAAAAGTCGTCGCACCTTTATGTATGCAAGTGTGACTTGGATACACTTCCAGCATGACCAGACTAGTAGTGCGGTATTCAATTAGCTTAATTACTCCTCGTGGACTTGCTCACTTTCTCCAGAGGTGAGGTGAAGCAATGTCATGTCGTCGTTTTCCTGTCTGCTATGGTCACAACCTTCTAAAAAGTACTACGACCAGCCAGGACTACTACCTGTTGGGTCGAGACTCACTTTCTCCAAGACGACCCAGATTTCATCAGACGAGAGGATTTTCACCTTCTTTTTTCAAATATTCAGGATTCCACCTTGGCGACAATTAAACAAATTATCTTTTGCACGATCTTCTCGTACCTTGACTCGTTGGAAAATCATGTTTTTCTGCTCGGTTAGAAGAAGAAACCAGACGTAATTAATTGCATAGTCAAGTCTGGAGGAGACGGATTAAGGTTTCTACCCAAATGAAGGGACAAGTCTCGAAATTTCTACGTTCAAATATTTACCTAATCTGGGGCAAAAACTGAATTTGTCAATTATCCAATTTTAACCATGTTCCACACACATCTTTATACTCGTTGATTTCTCTTTCAAAAATCTGCCATGGCCGCTTCCATCTCTCTCTGAAATAACATTAACTACGTCGTCGTCTCCAATTCAAAATCAAAGTGACATTTTCAAACAAAAAGAACACACGTAGCAATCAAATTCCATCAGAGATGAAAGAAATTTGTATACTCAAATCAAAACTTTTCGCTTTATTTATTGAGAGTCACAATCAAAAATTCAAAAAGGACAACAAACAAAATGTCTCTTTTTCGTATTGTCGCAATTATATATTTTGACCCACTTGGAGCAAGTAAATCTTCAAAATTTTAGACGGGCACGAGTTTATTTACTTTTTTGAAAAGGGGGAAAATATCTCCATATTTTCCTACCTTCGTTGAAGAGACATGGATAGCTTCACGATAAAAATAGAGCAAGTTTTCCTAGGAACACGGCACGTCGAGAAGTTTGAGAGGATCCGCAAGGAGGTTTGTGCGAATTGAACCCATAATATTTTGCTCCGCCGAAATGCCTCGTCTTAGTGGGACAAATATATCAAAGTCCGCATCCACAGGACTAATATCTGGTCCTCGGAAGACGAAGGACGGACGTTAGGCAAACAGCGCTAGGCGAGGAGGGGAGCTGAAGATATATATAGAAAGGAGAGAGGAAAAGGTAACAAATATTTGCATAAGAATCGTCCTCTTTTCCGTCCCTCGGTTGTTATTACGGGGTTGACTTGACTTTTACTTGCACTTTCTCCACCGCAACGCACGGGGCGAATACGAAGGTTTTACCTTACTTTATTTCATTTTGTTGAGAGATTTGCTTCAATTTGGGAGTAAGAAAGTTGTCCTGGGATGGACGGATGAGAAAAAGTTTAGTCCAGCTGTCCTATTTATTTTTTTGAGGGAATAATTGGCCCTGGTCCATTATTCCATTGTGGGAAGAATGCGAGGCTTCTCCTATTTTTATAGAGTACAAAGGTCTGTAATTTGCGAAAGTTTTTTTTAGGGATAAATGTGAGATTAAATTTTGGTCGTGGTTCGTAACAATGACAAATCTCTTGAATTACTAACAAGGCTTATGTACCAACAGGTTAACTAGTTACATAATGCAATGAAAGGCAAAAAAATTATGGAAATCCATGACTTGTTAAAGTTCTGGGTAAACCAGAAACATTATACTACAAATTTATACGAGAAATTTATATTTTGCAAAATTGTCACTATTTGTATTCTTCGCAAAGACGTGAAAATTCTAATATTTGATTGCAAAATATATTATTAAAATGCACAAAGTACAAGTAAATGAAGACGTGCACATATTATAAAAACCCATGGCATACACATTATAAAATTGGAGAAGTGGAAGCAATTCCTGTCTCTACGATGGGTTTCCTCCTTCACTTTATGAATTGTTACGTGAAAGACGGAAGTCAAAACTGGGAACCATTCTTTCATGCCGAGATTTGTAGCTGGAGGCGACTCCTTCTCCCATCCGCCCGACTTACCTATTTGAATCTTTCGAGAAAATGGGGATATGTCCATTTTAGAAGGCAGCCCTATATAGAACTACACAAGCCTAGTCGGTTGGGAGGTTCGTGAGATTTTGTGATAACAACAAAAATAATTACAGTCCTGTACCCACATACGTAAGTCTCCTTCCTTCGCTGGTTCCACTCCCATTGTCGAGCTGGATTACGTTTCCATTCTAAAACATAAATAAGGTTTCCAATAACTTATGATTATTTCGGTCGGGGAAGAATAAATGAGGTCGAACACAAAGTATTTGTAAACACACAGGTTAAATATTAGTCTAAAAAGTGAGTCGATATATATAAGTAGCAATGCTTGCTTACCTTCCTCTTTACCTGGTGCCGTTGTGATGGTGGTGACCTTTATTTTTTCTCCAACAACAGAACCAACAACAAATACCCGACGGAAACTAACCATCACTTTAAACATCTCCAATTGTGCTTCTGCCTCCTTTCTCCATGTTTGTATTTAACTTGTGAGCCCATGAATGAATATCTATCTACCTGCCTGCCTGCCAGATTTCACTCTGTGTGACATATACACGAAGAAGACGAGAGAAGCACGAATGTAAGCTTCTTTCAGGCCAAATAGCTTTCATGTAAAGTTTAATATCTCAGTAAGTAGATCAAATTTTGGAAATACGAACCATGGCAGCGGCCTCGTCGCTGAATGGGGATGTGTGCATACCGAATTTGAGAGGAAGATCCCAATTTGATTTACAAGTCTATCTCTCCCTCCATCGCTGGCTGCCTTCTTTTCTCAAGGAGTAAATATCCAGGAAACTTCGAATTCACCAGTCAAATGACGATGGGAAAGAGTAGAAAATCATTTTATGATTTCATTTAATCAGGATAATGCATTCTCAAAAAATGTGATCAAGTGAAATGATAAAGGTGATGAAAGTGAAACTTTGAAAAGTGCAGATTTAGCATTTTTTGAAAACTTGTACAAAGCGCAGAATATCTACGGGTTTAACGAAGGAGAAGACGAATTTTCAAATCTGCGAGGTAAAAAGATTAAATCTTTTCTATTTTACAGATTGATCTTGATTGAGAGGAAGGAATGATGACGATTTCTGGCCTTTGAGACGTTCTAGTGCAACGAGGCTACTTGGTAAATAAACAAGAAAACATGAGCTGCCCATTTTCCAACCCCTCTTTCGCCTCGTCCTCGTCAGCGTCCACGTCCCCACCGCAACCATCCCCCGGGGAAGGGTGCCGGTCTGACAGGCAGGACAGCATTGGGAGTGGAAAACCAAAACTTATTCGTGGAAATACGTTAGGAAGCTTTATCCCGTCATCGGAAGATCTCAACTTGTCCACCCTCAGTGCTGCCATCGTGGCATTGTTGCTCCCGCAGGTTGGTACAATTATTCCTACATTTATCTATGATATGTTTTGACGCTGGAATGTGTGGAATTTCGCTATTGCGAAACTCGGCTCCATTGAATGCAATGCATAATCCATCCATCAATCCATTCAACCACAAGAACAACAAACATGTCCTTGCATGGCAGAATTTGATCCGAACTGGAATCTTTCTCCCCATGTCCGTCACACCAGGATTGACTTTATGTCTCCCATCATCACAACTTTCTCTATCTCTCTGTACAAATAAATATATTTTGGATGTTTGTCCTCCTGCATTTGTCCTCTCCTTTCGTTCCTGGTGACTTCTGCTGCTGCTGGAAAGATGCAAATCAATAAATCTTCTTCCAGTTCACGAAACTCTGCTCAAGACGCTGCTTCTCCGGCAGGTTTAAGATTTTGGTTGTGTGTGAGCATCACAAGATCAGGATGACGGATAGGAACGTATCTTCGTATGAAACCAGAGCTGGGCTGCGTTCTGCTGCTGCTTTTCCTTATTGCAGAATAGAAATGGATGGAAGGATGTTGATAAAATTCAAATTAGATAAAAATAAAAGTAAAATAAATGGAAATTTGAAATTGACCATGAAGAAATCTAAATGGAAATCAAAATGAACAATTGCTTTTTCGTTCTGGAAAATGGTTAAGTTTTTTTGGCTATGGACTTGGTGAGTAAAGTAAATTTTTCAAAGGAGAGGAAAAAGAAAACCTTGTCTATTTTAGTATCCAACAACTCAAAAAGTGAGTAAATTAAGGGCCACTCTATTCCTACACAATTCTCTACAAGAGTTTTCTACGATAAGCTATCACTCGGAATTATGGAGCTGCGGCCTGCTGCTGGCTTCATTCTGATTTAATTGCTCGAAAAGGTAATGGAGCAGCAGAGATGAAGAAGTGGTTGAAAGGAGTCGAGTTGATTTAAGGAATTAATAAAGAAGGGAAAAATCTCTGGAAAACTTTGCTTTTTGGAGAAATATGGGGTACAAAGGTGCTGCAAGCTGCCATTCCGTCCTAATCCCATCCATCACACTGGGATAACTAAACTTGCTACTTTCCTCTTCCTCCATAATTTTGGCACTCCACAAAAATTCAGATCTTAGACTCTCTCCAAAAATGGAACCCAACCGCACTTCCTTCTCCTTCCTCCAGATAAAAATAAAGCTGTGTGCATTTCAAGAGAGGAAAAAGTAAAGTAGTTATAAAACAAAGAGAGAGAAAGAGAAGAAGCTCGTGAAAGTAAAATTGGGGAATTTTGTAAAACTCTCTCCGACCACAGGCTAACGAAGCACGAGCAGGTGAAACTGAGTTGATTCTTCCCTCGGTGTAAAACCATTATTAGGACAAACCAAAGTGAAATTTGTTTGGAAAGAGACATGATTTATTGCATGAAGGAGGAGTATGAAGAATTTCTCGACGCAAAGGGATCGAGCCCCCACTGGGGAGAGGACGACGACGACGACGATGACGACGTAGTATATTCTTCGTACGTTGTAGCACACAATGCACGAAATGTGAATGTCCGAGGAGGTGAAATCAAAGAGGGATCGAGTTCGTGGTTTTTGGGTGTTTGTGCTGAGTGAGATTTATTTTCGGCATTATTCAAATATCAAAGACAGACAAGGTACAAAGGTAATAAGGGAAAGTAGTAAAGGTGGGTTCGTAGTCAGTCAGGTACGTAGGCAGGGAAGGGAAACGGATAGTTGAACCACCCAACCGAGCAAGGAATTTCCAAAAACATTCTTCTATTACCACGCCAAAATCATACGAGATCAATTTGCCTCTGCTATGCACCATCTACATCCATATACATACCTACATACGCTTACTTATTCCCAGGTATTCCTTCCCTGAACTTTCACTCACGCCGTATTTATTTCTCGTTACATGCATCCAGATAAAAAATGGATTCGTAAATGATATACCGATCTACATTTTTTTTGTCGGGAAGAGATTCTGCGGTTTCATAATTCTACCCGAGCGTGTGCATGAATCTGTAAAAACGGAGAAATGATTGATTCAGAGGGGCAAAAGAATTTCCAATAAAATTACACATCGACAAATACCCGGGCAAAAGTCGTTCCAGAATTCCTGAACCTTTCTCTCTCACTTTTTCGTGATTATTTCTCCCCTTCTTCCTGATGGAAGAATATCTATTAAAATATAGGTGCATATCTATTGAAGGATTATTACCAACACGCAATTGTATGGGAGCACGTCTCCTTTCTTCTGTCGAGGAAACGGTAGAAAGGTCTGTAGAAAGTGACGAAATGTTTGTTTGCGATAATTACTTGACAGCCACGCCCCTTGGAAATGAATCTGGTGAAAGTGAAAGGAAATCTTTGCAGGAAACTGGGCGAAATCGGTTGCATGTTTGTTTGTAAAGAAAGTAGATGAGGGTGAACCCAGGAAGAATGTCCACGTTGGGCGTCTCACTCTCTCGATCCGTGATGGAAACGTTGGCACGGCCGTGGTTGGATGATCTCTTGGCAGAAATTAGGGTGAAAGTATATCAAGAGATGGTCGTCGATCTGGTCTTATGTTCCGGATTGTACGGATATAATGAACAATGATGTTGGCCCAATGCCACGCGAAATCCCTCCACCACCACTGCGACTATAGATCTGCCTGCCTGCCATCCTGCCAGGAGCACGCAGCTATTTACAACAGACAAGCAGAGAAGGAATGTGACTATTGGAGTAATGAGGAAGGAAGGAAGGAAAGCGAGGTGGAGATGGAATAAGAGATAGATGTTTAGAGAGACCAAGTATGTGGTGGATGGGAGAATGATGGTAAATTGCGTGTGTGTAGAGATGTCCTCATAATGGTACGTTGGCATGCAGAACAATGCAATTCCCATTGTTTGGTTCTTCCCAATCACTTTATCTTTCTCTTTTTCGCTTCGTTTTGTTCCCCTCCGTCGGAAATGAATCAGACGGAAGGTTGAGGTCACTAGAGGAGATTTGACAACAAGAAAAACTTTCCACAAATTTGCAAAAATTCGCGGTAAAATAAACCTGTCAGATGTACTAAATGTAGCAAAAAGTCGCAGACTTACGACGCATCTTGGTATAAATGCTGACCGGGTAAGAAGTGGGAAGAAGACACTAACAACAAATGGAGAATGAGTGAAAGTAAATCTGGCCAAGTGGTCATTTGCAATTCTAGTAAGTTTGACTTCTTTACCCATTTCCAGTAGTACGAGTTGTCATCTCCAACAAATGGATGTTGGCGGAGAGAGAGTCGCATCGGACAAGAAAGTTTGCGAGGAGAAAGCAACATTATTTCACCAGAATGATGCAGTATTCTTATTGAAACTAAAAGTCATCATCCAGCAAGATTCACCTTTTCATCGCTTGGTCATGGTCTCCTTGTCGGATAAATTATCGCAGCTCTCTAAAATAAGTTGGATAGTGAGTCGTTCAAAAATAACACAACTTTGGTAGAAATCCCATCAAAAAGAGATTACTTTGTGCTCCGGCAGAAGAGTATACTTTACTCGTGGGTCCACCCTTATCATGTCCACCAGTTTTAAATGCAAAATTCCAGCCAAGTTAGGTTTTAGTAGACAGTGGCCTTTTTGCAATGATACTCCCAAAAGACGAGGCTTCTGTAGTGGTCGTGTCTGCGCGTTAGTTTCGCCGCACATATCACATTAGATTAGCTCCTGCTTTCTGATGTGAAAGGTGGCGGACAAAAAAATTGAACCTCATCGTCTTCTCCAGTTTGAGAGAGGAAGAAAAAGGTCGACTTGACCAAGCAACCAACTTCTGCGGTGGATGGACGACAACGCTGTACAATTTTGTAGTATGACAATGAACATTAAACTTTGGCAAGGGAGACTCATCCATCATCTAGTCTGTCCTGGGATGTTCTTTGGACAAGAAACAAACTGCAATTTGGAACAGTTCTTTGCCTCTTTTTTCTCCTTTTTTGTGTCCATGTGTGGGATCATCTCCTTCTTGGAGTCGTTTAGTCGTGCATGTTTGATGAAGTTGCTCTGTTACGGGTGCCGCGACTGAACTTCCAGATACTCGAGATAATGTCATACTAACTATAAAAATAATGTTCCCCATGTAGACTCACCAAAAAAGTTGTCACTCTCGTTTCTGTATCCTATCCCATATTTGTGACGAGTTTGACTGGACAGTAAAAAAAGTAGCGCTGTGCGGTAATTAGTGTAAACATGACGGATTAAAAAAGGTCTTTTGAGGATTATTTAAACTAAGAAAGGGGTGACATTGTGTCCCCCTTCGCAAATATGACAGGGCGTTACATTCTACCTGACATATCTCCTTGTTTTTTTCCGTCTCTCGAGTAATTTTCGCCCGTAATTGTTCCAATGTCAGCTCCCACTTTCATACCGTCGTGTCACTCATGCAACCACCCGTCTTATCTTAGGAAACCTTATCGGAGGAGAAAGTAGTGCGTAAAATGAGCCATCCAGAATGATTGAGTGGATTCACTTCACCTGCCAACTTTTCCCATTTCGTGTATTTTTAAATTATGTGTTTTGTTCTCAGCAGAAGCACTTTACTACTACACCACTTTCTCCCCGTCTTGTCTGCTCCTATGCCCAACACGGGAATGAAATGGATCTCCCGTAATAAATTCAGTCAAGTGGGTAGCAGTTGAAATAGTGTGTACGAGGTGAAAGGCACAACGCTGAGGGTGAAGTATACAGCAAGATAAGTAACAAAATACACACAACCAACAACATGACACCTCAGATGAATGGAACAAGTTTAAAGTTCCACTCTTGTTAATTTGTCTTCTCTCTCAAAAAACGGAGGTGGGTTTCTCCGATTTTTTTCCGAAATTGTTTCCCATTTTCTAAAATTGCTTCGATTTTTTTTCTACCCAGGCGGAGAGAGTTTCATGTTCATGTTGATTTACCCACATTTTTTCCCTTCTCTGACTAGTGAGTAAAAGTTGAAAAGTTTTGATGAGATTATTATTTTTCTTTAAATAATTCAATTCTTGTGTAAAATTGGT